TTGTCTCTACAATAAATAAAAAAAATTAGCCAGGCATGGTAGCACATGTCTGTAGTTCTGGCTACTTGGAAGGCCAAGGTGGAAGAGTTGTCAGAATCCAGCAGTTCGATGCTGGGGTGGCTGTGAACATGCCACTGCACTCCAGCCTGGGCGACGGAGTGAGACTCCAACTCAAAAATAAATAAATAAATAAGTCACTTTAGACAACATGTTGATGGATTTAAAAAACCATCCAAGCTGGACGCGGTAGCTCACACCTATAATCCCAGCACTTTGGCAGGTGGAGGCAAGAGGATTGCCTGAGCCCAGGAGTTCTAGACCAGCCTTGGCAACCTGGTGAGACCTCATCTCTACAATAAGCAGTGGCGGCCATGAGCGTGCCACTGCACTCCAGCCTGGGCAACAGAGTGAGACGCCTATTCAAAAAAAAAAAAAAAAAAAAATCCAAGATGAGAATCTGTATTTTGATCAGGGAGTTTAGGCCATTACATATCTACTCTAATTACTATTCAATTAGGATTTACTTCTGCTGCCTTATTTCATGCTATGTTTAATTTTTTTGAGTTGGGTTCTCACTCTCGCCCGACCTCAACCTCCTGGGCTCGGGCAATCCTTCCATCTCACCCTCCCATTTAGCTGGTACTACAGGCATGCATCACTATGGCCAGTTAATTTTTTGGGGGGGGGTGATGAGATCTTGTTGTGTTGCCTACGCTGGTCTCGAACTCCTGGGCTTGAGCAGTCCTCCCACCTCAGCCTCCCAAAGTGCTGGGATTATAGGCCTGAGCTGGCGTGCCTGGCCCATGCTGTCTTATCAGGTGTCCACTCTGCTTATTTTTTCCCTTCTGTGTCCTTTATTGTGTAGATGGAATTTTCTTTTGCTGTCTGAAAGGCAGACCTTCTTCTCACGGTTGCCCTAACTTATTATACTCCATGCTTTGCCTTATCGTGATCTTATGTCTTCCCCAAGAAGAAGTCAGCATCCTTAGCACAGTCTTCTGCTCTCCTGCCTCTGGCGGGGACTCCAGGGCTGGACTCTAGGGAGGGATAAGGCAGCCCTGCTCATTTACCATCGTATTCAGAGCTGGACAATGCTTGTTTGGGGCTGTTCTAGGGCCCTCCAGCACTCAGTGGGGGGTTGGTTTAAAGGACCTCTAGAACGTTCCTGAGGTTTTGTGCAAGTTCTGCGGATGGTGGATTCTAAGGGGGAGTGAGATGGAGACTGGACACGTCAGTAGACCTGGAGTTTCTCCATCTTCCTCTCAGAGACTTCCACTGTCCCCAGGGGCACTCTTAGGTGCTGTGCAGAATGCGTCACCACCCTGCCCTGTGCAACAGTCAGGAAGTCAGTGAGGAGGGGGGCCTCGACGAGACAGGAGGGGGAAGTGGGGACGAGGTGGAACGGGTGTGGGCACGCCACTGAGCAAGTTGCAGCCCTTTCTCTGTGCCCCAAGTCACCGTCAAGTAGGAATGTGTGGCCAGCAGCACCAGAGTGTTCAGTGTTCCCCAAGAAGCCAGGAAATTGGATTTCATATGTGAAATCTTCCAGTTTGTACATGTTGGCTCAGAAAAGTTTATAACTTTGTGTGGGCCAAACAGTGTGTCTGTGGACTAGGTCTGGCCCAGACATCACTCCTGAGGCCACTGCTCTGGTTGGTCGATAGGTCCATCCTTGTCACCCTGGCTCTGCCTTCTTCCGGAGAAACATCATCTCCTGGCTCCATGGTTTCCCTGAAGATGTAGTTTCCTTTACCTGTGGCCTCCCAGCCTCTTCCTCTGGCCCCTTTACCTCACCAGCTGGTTAGTCTAAAACCTTGTTTCATTAATGCTGGCTAACAGATGAGTGTCAGTCACGCTCCCACATGCATTTCTCACTGTCATTTGCCCTGTGACGCAGGTGACATGCACCCCTTGTTTGCATTTGTAACTTCCTAGTGAGCGGATGGTGTGAGGGTAACCATGGGCCGAGTCTTCCTAGAGCCTGTCTGCAGCCCTGGCCCTGAGGCCTCGTTCCTAGAAGTACAGGAAGGGCCGCTGTCAGCTTTCTCACTGGGGTGTGGATGCACACAGGACATGTGGGCCCCCAGCCCCTGGAACCTCGGCCTACAGAGGGCAGAGCTGCCGTGCGTCCCAGAACCCAGGCCCTGTGAGCCTCCTCGGGTGGCCCCTTCTGCCTGCCATGGCCTCCTCCACCCTGTTGCCTTAGGTTCCTGTCCTGTCACCCGCCAGCCTCTGCCCTGGGCCTCACTCTGCCTGAGTGGCAGGAGCCTGCCGCTTTATATACCCTGGGCAGTTGGTGACTCATTCCTCGGCAACCTCAGATGGGGAAATGAAACGGCCACACCTGGTGGGGCCTGCATGACCTTTGTATGACAGCGGAAGCAGCTATGCAAACACGGGGCTGGCCGCTGAGGAGGGGAAGTCCTCTCTGAAGCCAGGCTGTGAAGAAGGCACTGGCCTGCCCTGGTCCAAGTGTGACCTCAAGGACTATGGCTCTGGTAACCGTTTTTCCTCCCCTACCCCCACTTTTTCTTTGTGACAGCTGGAAGTAGCAGTGGTCACAACCGAGAGAGCCAAACATTTCTACAGCCCTCAGGATGTTCCTGTCACCCTCTACAGTGATGCTGATGAATGGGAGGTCGGTGCTGTGGGCCCCTGGGCTAAGTTCCATTATGTTTCCACCAGCAGGACAGCACAGTCCTCCCTGCAGCCCATGGTCCTGGCAGCCGGAGTAGACAGGCTGAACTCAAGTTGGCGGTCAGGGTCCTCTGGGCAGAGGCGATGAGAAAAACATCTGTCTAGCTTCTGGCCTGCAGGAGGCCCGAGTCTCCTCCCACCGGGCGGAGCTGGGCCCTGGCCTGGTGCCTGGGGTTGAGTGTCCTTGTACTTATCTGGGCTGATGAAACCACAGAGGAGCTCTGTTCCCACCACCCCATCCACGTGGCTCCCGCGTCAGGGCTGTGGAGAGCGCCTCACTTCCCACGGCCGCCGGGCCCTGCCTCTGCTCCCCCGCAGAGGGGTGGGCACTGGCCAGTGCACCAGACGCTGAGTGTGGGCCTCCCGGGGGTTCCCTGCCAGGCCTTTTTAAACATCCTCAGCCTAGAACATTTCTGGCTGGCCTGTTCTCCCCGCCCCACCCCCTCTGTTTCTCACTGCCTGGAGCCCTTCCACTGGCTTGGACAACCCAAGCAACCGCCTCAAGCTGATGGGCCAGGAGCTCCCTGCCAGATGCCAGTTCTCTTGAAAACCAAACCATAAAGGGAATAGCTCGGAGAAACAAGGGGCGCTTGTTTCCTCAGGCCTAGTTTCTCTCAGGCTGTGGCTCCACGGCCAACGTGAGCCAGCTTAGATGCCAGAGGGGATGGCGGTGGACTTGGCAGGGTGGCTTGGTGGGCTTCTCGGGCTCCTGGTTGATGGCACCCGGCCTGCCTTGGCCCCTCATCCCCTTCCTCCACATGGAGAGAGTGGCCGACTCGGTGACCCTGTGTCCTCCCCCCACCAGATGTGGAAGCGCCGCTCTGACCCCGTTCTTCACATCGACCTGCGGAGGTGGGCAGACCTCATGCTAGTGGCTCCTCTTGATGCCAACACTCTGGGGAAGGTGGCCAGTGGCATCTGTGACAACCTGCTTGTAAGTGACTCCCTGGTGCCCTCATGCCTCCCTGGGCCTCACTCCCAGTGTGCCGAGCTGCAGACTTCCTTGTATGAGGAAACCCACACGGTGGGGCCCAAGTCTGCTCAAGGAGAATGAAGTTCCCCTTCACCTCCCCCATTTCTCCTCCTCTACAGCCAGTAGGCAGAAGACCTGGTCCCGCCCAATGGACCAGCTTATTCACTGCTGTTTTCCAGGCGTGTCTACTTTTCCCCTGCCTCTCGGTGCCCAGCCAGGCCTGCAGCCAGCCCCTTGCTCCTCGCTCTTTGTGCTTCCCATGGCTGCCCTCAGCCTGCCCTGCCATTGTCTCCCCGCCTGGCCTTGCCGCCTCCTCCTGCAGTGCTGCCTCTTGTTGGAATCTGGGTATCCACGGGGGCGATCTGATGACAGGCTCATTTCCTCATGGCTGTCTCATGCACACTCGTCTCCCTTGGAGCTTTCCTGTGTCCTGGGGAAGACAGGAGAGAGAGGGGGTCCATGAGAGCCAGCAATGTGGAGAGAGACAAGTCAGCCTTACAAGTGGGGACTGTCCTAGACCTGAGGAACCTCCAGAGCTGTTCCCCTAAAGAGAGCTGCTTCTTTGTTATCGTCCTGAGAGGATCTGGGGGAATTTCTCTTCTTCCCCCTTTCCCTTATTATCATCCCCACCTTGCCATTTTTTGAGCTTTCACCTGCCACGTATTGAGGCCCCTACTGAGGGCCTCGCAGGACACATGGAGCTCACGGTCTGGAAGGAGAGGGTTATTCATCACCCGTGCAGGAAGGGAATATCCTCTGGTGAGTGGCATGGTCTTAAATGACTGCAATCCATCCTTTGACCATGGTATCACCACCTTGCATGGTGCTGGGCATGTAGTAAGTGTTCAATACATACTTCTTGCACATATGAGGCAACTAGTAATTTTACTCTTGCAGGCAGTCGGGAGTTTTTCAGTTTGTTTTTTTTTTTGAGTTGAAATCTCACTCTGTCGCCCAGACTGGAGTGCAGTGGCACGCTCCCGGCCACCACAGCCTCCACCTGCTGGGCTCCAATGATCCTTCTGCTCAGCCTTCCAAGTAGCTGGAATTACAGGTGCGCACTACCACGCCTGGCTAATTTTTTGATTTACTGTAGAGATGAGGTCTCGCCAAGTTGCCCAGGTGGGTCTCAAACCCGCGGGCTCAGGCAATCCACTCACCTCGGCCTCCCAAAGCGTGGGATTACAGGCTGAGCCACCGAGCCCGGCTGAGTTTTTCAGTTTTATATGGTGAGGAAAATGAGCAATGAAGCTGGGACACGATTGTTTGGGGTCCTTATTGCTTGTCAGCAGGCTCATAAGGATCTGCCTGTGATTTAAGCATCACTTGCATAAACACGGGTGAGCAGAAGAACAGCTTGTGTGACCAGGAGCAGGGGTAAGGAGTGCAGAGAGCAAAGAGCGCAGGAGCAGTGTCAGCCAGAAGGGTTATCCAGCTATTCAGGAGGCTGAAGCAGGAGGTCGAGGTTGTGGTACTCTATAATCATGCCTGTGAAGTGCCACTACACTCCAGCCAGGGCAATGTAACAAGACCCTGTCTCCAAAAAAACCGAAGCCAAAACAAAGAAGGCTTCCCAGTGGAGCTGGTGCCAGGGTTGAACAGGCTGGAGCTAGCACAGGTGAGGCTCCTGCTACTTCCATTAAAGTGGGTCGGAGCTGTGTGTGACCAGCGCTATCTCACCAAGTCCCCAGGCCTCCCATGGTGGTCAGCTGCAGCTGATGTCACAAAGCACGCCAGTCTCTGGGAGTGAGCCTTGGGCCGGCTCTTGGGCCGTCCTTCCTCCTGAAACCTGTTTTCCTTTTTTCCTCAAAGCTGCCATCACCCCATGAAATCTTTGGGTTCCCTCCTCCAGAGTTGGCTGGACAGTGGTGCATGTTCTGAAGACCAGCCCCCAGACCGTTTGCCTAAAGGGTTTCACTAGGAGTCACATATGTCAGCAAATCTCAGATCTGACAGAGTCTGAGCCATCAGCATCCTTGGGATGTGGCTGTGTTCTCTCTCAAAAGACATTTTCTCCTCATGTCCCTAAAGGGAACACTTGCTCCCTTCCTCTGCAGCCCTTCCTTTTCCAGTGTCCAGAACTTGGAGTCCCATGAGAGCGGCGCTAGGTGTGAAGCTGTGGTCCCGGCCTCCAGGCCTTTGTCCCTTGGCCTGGGACATCCATCTCCATCTGCCCTCCGAGGCCTGGCCCTTTATTTATGCTAAACAGGCGATCAGAGCCAGAAGGAGATGGCAACCTTCCTGGGTCACCAGTCTCCCGATGATGGGCATTCCCAGAGACAGAGCCTAAGGTGATAAACATAGCAGTGGTCAAACAGAAGTGACTGTGGGAACTGGTGCCCTCCTCGCCCCGCTCTGGCTGCTGGTAGGTTTAGAGGAGTGTGATTTATCCAGGAAGCGCTGAGTTTCAAGATGAGGTGGGAGCCAGGTACGCCAAAATACTGGTCTTCTGCTTGGGTTGGCGTGCTGTGTCTTGAGGGCACTAAGAAAGCCCAGCCCAGCCCTCACCTGCACCCACACAGTCAAGGCGCTCTTCTAGGTATGCTCGAGACTTCTGCAGAAGCAGCCGGTGGCAAAGGGCAAAGAGGAAGTATGAGCGAAACTGCCCACTCAGAGCCTGCTTGCTGTATGGAGAGGGTTTGGTGGGAACCAATGTGGTGTCTGGGATGACGCAGGCAGCTGGGTCCCCAGGCTTTTTGCTTTCCCACTTCCTCCCTGTCTCCAGGAGATGGTGGGGTTGCCAGGGGTGGGGCAGGGTTGGCCTGTTCTCTGAGCTCCCCCACTCTTTTCCCAGATTGGCTGGACTTCAGGGAAAGGATCTCGCAGCTCTGGAGGGGGTATCTGGAGCAGAGCACAGGGCTATCAGTTTCTCCCCCATGCAGCGCCCCCTCCCACCACCACCCAGGGAGCCTGTGTCTGTGCTAAGGACAGGGGCCACTGACCCAGAGCCTGAGCTGCATGCCTGGCCCTGTGCTGAGAGCTTCCTCACCTCAGTCCGCACAGCTGCATGGTAGGGGCCTCTGATAACTCAGCCCAGGCTTTCACAACTCGTGTAGACAGCACAGCCAGGGTCTCTCATGGCTGTGTGACTTCAAAGCCCATGGCACTGAGGACTCGCAGCTTCTCGGGTCTGTGCCTCGTGAGAAGGCTGGGACCTGGGAGGTAGTGAGACTGGGTGGTGGGAGATCACACGGCGTTCATTACCCTGATGTGACCTCGGGTGTCTGCTCACTCCTCAGGGAGCTGCACTTCCTGTCTGAATGAGACAGCACTTTCTTCATGGGCTCACAGGGAGGGCTCACAAGATAATATATTTGAGAAGGTTTTTGTCACATGTTAGGCGTTTTCACTGTCAGGCTTCAGTTGGCCTAGAAGTAGAGGATGTCGGGATGGACCCCACCTGTGAGCAGTCTGGCCTTCGGCAGCCTGGCGTAACTGCAGAGCCTGCTCCCCAGGGTGGCTTCCATCCAACAGGTGTGAGCCTGCATGGAGGGCACAGGGCTTGGGCACAGGATCCCTGCCGAGGTGGCTGGGCCATTGTGAGCACTGGCTGAGCACCTCTTGTGTGTAGGGCCCCAGGCCAGAGCCTGTGAGGAGGTGGGGAGGGGTAAGGAGACAGCCCCCACCCTGGAGAGACACAGGACAGCTCCCTGCAGCCAGGCTGCACCCATTCATCCCAAGCCCGCTGCTGGGCTGCAGGTTGCATGGCGGAGGGCAATAGGGAAGGGTGGCAGGCAGAGCAGGAGGATGACCTCTCCCCTGCCCTTCTTCACAGACCTGTGTCATCCGGGCCTGGGACCGCAGCAAGCCCCTGTTCTTCTGCCCGGCGATGAACACCGCCATGTGGGAGCACCCCATCACTGCGCAGCAGGTGGGCCAGCTCAAGGCCTTCGGCTACACCGAGATCCCCTGTGTGAACAAGAAACTGGCCTGCGGAGACCAAGGTGGGCATCTTGCCAGGCCCACAGCCCAGGGCCTCAGAAGGGGCTCAGCTTTGGAGTCACATCCGGGGTCATTTCCCAGCCTGTCATGATCTTGGCAAACCGCTCTCCCTTGAGCTCTACCTTCCCAACTGGAAACTGGGAGTTCCAATTCCTGCCTCTGGTGGAACGAGGTGGGACCAGCTGTGTCAAGTGCCTGGCAGAGTCCTGGCCCGTGGCCCACATGCAGTGAATGATGGCTTCTGGGATGATTCTGGAGTCTGGCCTAGGGGCTTGGGAGGGATCTGCTCAGGCCTTGGGTTCTGGGTGGAGCACTCAGGGAGCCCTGGATGGGGGTCTGCAGGGCTGCAGGCACTGTTGGCCCTTGTGGCCTCAGCAGCACCTTGTTCTTAGGTCTGGGGGCCATGGCTGAGGTGGGAACCATCGTGGACAAAGTGAGAGAAGTTGTCTCCCAGCATGGTGGCTTCCAGCAGAGTTGAACTGGGACTTCTGTCGACGTGTGTCTCTGTGTACTCAGCATGGGCTCAGGCCAAGCTGGTGAAAAGACGGACAAAGCTGGAAAAAAATCGGCAAATATAACGATTCCTTCATTTGCTGAGTGAGGTCTGTCCTGGGCCTGCTCTGAGCCTTCCCAGGGACCGAATCTGCTCAGGTGAAGCTGGACCAAAGGCCTGGGTCCCAGCTTCTTTCAACCAGGAGCTGCCTGTCACCCGGAGCCCCTCCCCACCTTTTCCTGGGAGGGACAGCAAGCCAGGGAGCCAGCTGCTGTTGTCCTTAAGTCACAGGACGAAGGCTGAGTGACCAGGAAACCTTGATTCTACATCTTGCCTGGAACGACTTCTAGAAATGCCACAGCTGGAGAGCCCTGGCCTAGCCTTGGGAACATCAGCCCTTTGGCGGGTGCCCAGGTGCCACGCGGTCAGGGAGTCCTGCGAGTTGGCGGGGCTCTGAAGTTTCCTGCAGGCCACACCGTGAAATTGGAGGTGCTGAGAAACACAGAGAAACAACCACTGGGAGACTCCTCCTCCCTCCACAACCTGTCTGTGGTCTCAGAGGCTGGGGGGTGTGATTGGGGGAGTCTGGGAGGGGTCTGGACTAATGACTGATTGGTGCTCTTTAGTCCCTGTGTCACATGGTGGTTAAGGACAAAGGGCTCTGAAGCCAGGCAGCCTCTAGTTCAAATCCCAGCTCTGCCACTCACTAGCCACAGGACCTTGGCTCAGGACTGTCTTCCTACCCCTCACTTTTCTCATCTATGTTATTTTCCTGCCCTCTTGGAGCTGCTGAGAGGGTTAAATGAGATTACATGTGCAGAATGCCTGCCCAACCGTGTGTCTGGAACACAGTAAGTATCCAATAAATGGAAGTCAAAGCTGGACATGTATATATGCCGGGAGTGTCCCCAGCAGTCCCTGAAATAGCCTGTCTCATATTGGGAATGATGAAATCCTGGACCCTGAGCTACCATGACCCTTTGTGCTGGTGCCAGGTAAGCAGCCAGCAGGGTCGAACCTGCCCTGGGTCCTGGATCCCGGACCCTGCCTTGGGTCCTCCTGCCTGTTGTCCTCATCTATTCAGGTTTGCTGTACCTGAGGGACCTGGATGTCTGTGCCTGCCGCCCCCAGTACACACGCACCAGGGAAGCAGATCCAGAGAGACCACAGGCTCCAGCCAAGGAGCCTCCACTGTCTGGCTTTCCTTGCTGTTTGGTGAGGCTGCATGGGGAGGGCCTGCTTCCCTGTTTGGAGCTGGGATTAGGGCTGGCTTCTTGCTACCACCCTCCTACCCTGGGCATCCAGGCCAGACTGAGGGAGCCTCCTAGCATGCCCTGAGAGCACTGAGAGGAGAGGTACCTTGGGGGGGGGCCAGCAGCCTCTGAGAGCCTTTAGCCGTACAGCAGTTGACCTAACCAAGTGACCCTTTGGTGTCAAGTCGCCTTAGGGCGCAAAAGAAGCATCAAGATCAACCTCTGTGGCTGGTTTAGGGGTCAGAGCTTGGGGGGAACCTATAAAACAAATGCAAGACAATCCCAAATTTCCATTTGCACAGTTCCCAACTTCCTACAGTCCCTGGCGCCTGCCCTCTCCCTCAGCAAACTGCTAGTAAGTGGTGAGGCTTTCCAGCTTTCCCAGAAACTGCTGCCACTCACTGAGTACCCATCACAAGCCAAGCTCTGCTCTGGGCACCCTAGGGAGGACAGCTGCCCAGGGACCAACCACACAATGCCTGTGTGAAAGGCTGCAGAGAAGGCCACAGGCCTCTGCCCGATGGCTCCTCCTGCCCGATGGCTAGGAGAAAAGAGATATATCTCCTTGGATGCGGGCCAGCTGGAGGTCCCGTTCCTGGGGGCTCTCCTCCAACTCCCACCCAGGTAGCCCTGCATCCCTACTGCCCATTTTGAAGGGAGGTCTGGAGAAATGAGCTGGGGCTGAAGCACCCAACTGTTCCCTGAGCAGGACTGGAGCTAAGAGTAGCCGGCAGCTGCATTTACCTGGCCCCACCTGCCTGCTGGATGCCAAGGGAGGAGTGACAACCACGGTTTCCCCACTAAGAGTCCAAGCTTTCAAAGTTGTCATAATCTTTGGTAGAATGGTTTTTCAGAGAAGATGCTAGCTTCCTGGGTGGTTTTTGTAGAATTCTAGAAGTTTGGCAGAATAGGACATTTGGGTCTGAGATGTGCACTCTTGTTTGGCAGCCGGGATCCCTTCAAGGCTGCTGTGGCTGCTGCCAGGTGGGAGGCAGAAGCCTCTGAATCAGGCTGGTCTCCACCCTGCGCTGGCTCCAGCCCTTCCTCCCATGACCAGTTGGGTCCAGCTGCTGCCTCCTGGCTGCCTCAGGGTCAGGTCCCAACTCCTGGGCAGTTACCACTCAGCCCTTGGTGATCCAGCCCCTGCTTCCCTTCTAGCTCTGACTTTGCCACACTCCAGCCCTGCAGGGCTCCTTGTCCTCTTGCCAGAGTGGACAACCTTGAACAAGCCATGCTGCCTCCTGCCTCTTGCCTTTGCACCGGCTACTGCTTTTCCTGGGAGGCCATTCTTCTTCAGGCTGATACCCGCTCATGCCTCTAGGTGTACCTGGGTGCCATCTCCTCCAGAAAGTCTCCCTAGCCAACTCAGGCTGAATCCGGTGGTCCTGCCCAGTTCTCCATGGTGATCCCTGCTGTTTATGAGAACAGAATTGTAATTGTCAGTTTGCTTTGTGTCCCCCTAAAACTGGGGTCTTGGAGAGCAGGAGTTGTCCTGTTCCTTACAGAAGCTTGTACTTACAAAAAAAGGGGTGGGCTGGGCAAGACACAAAACCCAGGAGCCATGACAGCAAAGACATAACTTTGGCTATAGAAAAATAAATAATCCACCCAAAGGCAAGGTCAAAAGATATCATTCTGGGGGAATTATCTGTAGCTCATAACAAAGAGCTAATTCTCCTGAGAGGGAGAGCTCCTACACATTGATTAGAAAAAGGCTGAGAGCACACACGAAAATGTGAGCAGAGGATAAAAAGCTCACATTAAAAACAAAAAAGAACAGGTCAGGTATGGTGGCTCACGCCTGTAATCCCTACACTTTGGGAGGTAGAAGTGGGAGAATAGCTTAAGGCCAGGAGTTCAAGATCAGCAGGGCCAACATAGCAAGACCTCATCTTTATTAATTTATTTGTTTATTTTTTGAATTGGAGTCACACTCTGTCACCCAGGCTGGAGTGCAGTGGCACGCTCACGACCACCGTAGCCTTGACCTGCTGGGCTCAGGAGATCCTTCCACCTTAGCCTTCCAAGTAGCTGGAACTACAGGTACGTGCCATCATGCTCAGCTAATTTTTTTTTTTTTGAGTTGGAGTCTCACTCTGTCACCCAGACTGGAGTGCAGTGG